CCGTAGGATTCGTACCGTTCGCTGCCTCCTGCCGCCCGATTAGCTTGCAATTGCGTACGGTTGGTTGGTTGGTGACTTCGTACGGTTGCTCGTTTATCGCCCGATCGCCCAGAGGCCGTCGTTCGCGCGTGTCGATGCCGGTGTCCCCGTCGACGTCGTGCGGATTGAGTCCAAGACCTTTCTTCCATCTGTAAAGTTGTAAGTTTGTGAATAATTTGATGATATTTGTGAACAATTTGATATATTTTTTCTAGTATCTGAAATCCATAGAAAAAATTTGTCACTTTTTTTTTTGAAAATTTAGCATATATATGTCTGAGATCCTATGTTATCCTCAAATTGCATCACTCTATTTAATAAATTATACTGAAGAAATTATTGTAAATATAGTAATAAGGTGGTGTAAATATAACTATAAGACAATATAAGTGCATGAAAAAAATCTGGTTGTTGGGAGGGGCTAAAACAACCCGTTATTGGTTAGATAGATTCTTTTTCCGATCGACAAACAAACGTCATTCTCTTATTCCTTGTCTGAAAAAAAAACGTTATTATTATTCAGCTTCGTGCTCTTGGTAGTAGTATTCTTTTATCTCTCTCGTCCCTTCAAATTGTTTTCCTACCATCAGCATGGGAAGCTAAGCATGCATTCACCAGCAGCTCGTCACAACGACACACCTTTGAACAGTAGTCGTCGTTTTTCTTTTCGTGACTACGTACTATGAGCCCGTTCGTTCCCTCTATCCTGAATCAAGACATGTTGATTTATTTAGTGTGCATCTAAATACATAGCAAAAGTAATGTATCTTAAAACAACAAAACACTTATAGTTTGAGATGAAGGAAGTAGAAAGCAGCAGTTGCTGTTGTTTTTGCTGCAAGCCTTCTCGTATGCTAACTTCATTCCGAATTATAAGTCATTTTAACTTTCTTAATAGTCAAAGTATCTTAAATTTGATCAAAATTATAAAAAAATATGACATCAAATAGGTATTACTATGAAAATCTAATTATTGAAGAATCTAATGATACTTATTTTGTATCATAAATATTATCATTTTATTTTATTATATAAATTTGGTCAAAGCTGAGATGCTTTGACCCTTCAGGAAAGTATAATTTAAGACAACGGAGGGAGTATTATTCCAGAGACGGTTAAATGCCCAACGCTATAGAGCTCTATCTTTATGATCCAGTATTGCTATCTATCAACCGGTTAATTTAGGAGCTTGCATCATCTGATTTTTGGACCGTTTGTTGTCGTCGGCCGATGGCCTAGGCCATCCGATGTGTCCGTCATTGTTAGGTGTATGCATCCATCATCCGTGCGCGCGTAGTACGTGGCAAAAGTGGAGCAGCGGCCGCCATGCCTGCTGGCTGGGCGCGTGCACGTAGGAGATCCGATCCAGGACACGACGCATGTAGTTCGTCATGCATGCTTCTCGCTATAGAAAAATTTGTAAATTTGTAAGTTTGTGAAAAAATTGATATTATTTGTGAACAATTTGATATATATTTGTGTGATACCTGGAATCCATAGAAAAAATTTGTAATTTTTTTTTTGGAAAAATTGGTATATATTTGTGTTATTCCCAAATTATATCACTCTGTTCAATAAATTACACTGAATAAATCATTGTAAATATAGCAATAAGATAGCGTAAATATAGCTAAAAGACAGTGTAAGTGCCTGAGAAAAATTCACTTGTAGGGAGAGGCCAGAACAACCGAACGTCACCTAGACATATCTACGATCGTTGGTGTTGTATCGCTTTTCAAACCGCCCATGTAAAGTTATTTTAACCGCACCTAGAAATCATTTCTCCACTAGCGTGAACAAACTGCAGAAGTAGTCGTACAAGGCACAGCTGAACGGTGCCATACTTGTACGCCTACGGATGCAAGCGGGGCGGGCTGTGGACAGCCCGCACGTCGCCGCTGGGTGTCCATTTGCTAAAGCAAACAAGCCCGCATGCTTCTGCAGGCTTGGCGGTGGATCCTGCAAAGCCTAGCAGAGCCCGCATGCATGCCTTTGCGGCAGAGACGTACTAGCCTGGTTCGACGACGCGTCCTTCGCCTCCTCGTCCAAGCTGTGGCGTGCGGACAACGGACCTGCTGTTGGCGAATCGCGACACCGCTCTTGCCGAAGACCCGAACTGCATGGGCCAACATGGAGTCGTTGCGAACCGACCGGCGCGGCCTCGCCATCCCCGTCGTGCTGCGAGCGCCTGCCGGGCCGGGCAGAGACGGGGACGGGAGGTCCTGGAGTCTAGGCCCCGCTGCATCGCCTTCCACAAATGTCAACGTCTCTGGCAGTCTGGCAGTCAGTCAATCAATTTTGCGGGGCGGGCAAAGCGGGCCCGCGCCGCTTGCATCCTTACTTGTACTACGTATGCAGCATCACGTTTTTCGTTAGGGGGTGTTTAGTTCCTTCAAATTCCAGAATTTGGCACTATGCAAAAAGAAAATTCTCAATCACATCAAACTTGTGGTACATGCATGGTTTGGTTTTACTTTGCGAGACGAACGTTTTGAGCCTAATTAGTCAACGATTGGACAATTATTACCAAATAAAAACAAAACGACACTGTAGGTTGCTACAGTGTTTCAGGCGGCGCAAACTCGGCGCAACTAAACGTGGCCTAGGAGGGAACGAACACCTTGTGTTCTTCAGCTGTGGTCGGTGGGCACAGTATACTACGTACTCCTGGTACGTACATATATACAGTATTCGTCTCAGCGGCGATTAATAATAAATAACAAGGTGGTAGTAATTATTACGTACGTGCATGCCCGCATTATGATGCATGTCTTCGATCTGGTTCACGTGGGACTCGGAGCCGGAGGTAGCTAGATTGAAGACGACGACGACGACGACGACCATGGTGCTGGTGCCTTGCCTGATTGCCTTCTCGTCTCTCTGTTGGCCCTCCTCGATCTCTGCCTCTGCTTTCTTCATTGCATAGCAGACGCAGACGGCATGCGTTCGTACGTATATCGTATCGATTCGAAAACCAGCGGCAAAACCGGCCTGCCGCTGCCCGCTGCCGACCGGCCGCCGGCCTCTCTAATAACTCTCACCGGCGCATGCGCATGCAATGCCAGCAAGGGCGGGCAAGTGGCCAAGTGAGATAAGCAGCAGGGGTACATAGGTTATTTCGCACGCTTTGTAGGTCTTTTCAGGCTCCCTGTCACGCTGACGTGCCCATCTAGCGTGCCACCTCAGCAAAAATGGCAAAAACGTAGAAAGGTTACCGTTTGCGATGACAAATATATAGGAACGCATATAAAAATAAGAAACGAAGGAGTGCCATCGGTAAGGGTGACAAAAAGTTAAAAATCCCACGTTACATGGATTGGAATAGGCAGGCACTAGTGTTGCTCGGCTGATCCACTGCCAGAAAACTACGACCTAATCTCAACACCTAGGTACCATATGCATGCGAGCTCTGATACCTGCACTTCTAGCTACAGTACTTATATGAAACTTATTAAATACGTCGTACTTAATGTCCAGTTGGAACTTATTCTAAACTTCTACTAGCAGTGCTTCTTCTTTTAGGTCATTCTCACCGAGAGTTTTATATCATTGTTTAACATATTCGCTTGAAAGCTTATCAGCCATAGAACAATGTTTTTCTTTTACAACATATCAGCTTCAGCCGATTTATGAGCCGCAAAAATCATCAGCCGAACAGCTCGTATAAATGAAATCATTAGCAGTAGTTCTTCTTTCGAATCATTCTCAACGGAGAGTTTTATATATCTCATTGCTTCTAATAAGAATATAGAATGCAGTGAGACATAGATGAAACCATCATCTCAATATATAGTTTAATTTTTTTTATTTCATAAACATTTAATTCTATGATGACTCATCCTAAGTTGGTAACCGAGCAAGACAGTTTCATCTCCATAAAAAAAAAAAATTTCTCTAAAACGTTGTCACGTCACTGGAACTATGATAAAAACTTCGGTTGATAATGTGACTGCTTAGACAGAGAAGAGGCCTAGTGTCGTCCGGAGTACGTGACTGCTTATTAAATATAAATAAAACTCTGATAAAACTTTTGCTGATAATGACCTTATACAACTGTATAGTAAGGAACTGACATAGCACTGGTCACCTATTGGAACCGGCGGCATGAATGTCAGCCATATACTACATACATACATATAATATACTCCATCCGTCTCTAAATAACTATCGTTTTCGTTTTCTGTGAAACAACTTTGACTATATATATATATATATATATATATATATATATATATATATATATATATATATATAAAGTATTAATATTTATGGTATAAAACTAACATCATTAGATAGATCGTTGAATCTATTTTCATAATAAATTTATTTGGGGATACAAATGTTGCACATATTTTCTACAAATTCAGTCCAGCTTGGCACGGAAACAAAAAGCGGCAGTTATATACGGAGTATACTACGGAGTACCTGCGATTTGTGCTGTGTAATTGTAAATGTGCACCATGAAGAGACAGATATGATGGATGATGGTTTGGTGACAAGCCCAAAAGCACATAGATAGACAGACAGAGGAGGAGGTGTGTGTTTGGGGGGAGGGGCCGTCTCGCTCGCTTGCCGCTTGTGGCTGGACTGGTGTCCTCCATGCTTCCAGCCCCATAAAAAGACGACGCTTGACATGAACTGATAGCCTTCCTGGTAGCTTGATACTACCCGCAGATTCTTTGACAGACAGCAAAGTGCAAGTGTGCAACGCACACACATCACTCACAGTCTCACAGTGTGTCTGAGAGAGAGAGAGAGAGAGAGAGAGAGAGAGAGAGAGAGAGGACGAGATCAGCTAGCTCAGCTGGTATCATATCATCTAAACTGCATAAAAGGAAAAAAAGTTGCAATGATGCATTCCACCACATAGATAGAGAAGAGCCTCGACCCAAGAACGCCGTGTGCGCATCTCTATCTCCGTTCACGCACGCTCGTACGCACCCGCGGCAGCACGGCCGGCCATGGCCGCCACCAGGAGAGCCTTCTTCCACTGCGGCGTCGACGGCATTGCGCGCGCCGCGCCGGGGGAGGCCGAGCTGCTGCCGCAGGTCGGCGGCCGCCGAGCGGAGGAAGGCGCCAGCAGCATGATCTTCGGCTTCCCCATGCCCGTGGTGCCCGGCCGGCCGGCCGCCGTCACCCAGCAGTTCTTCCCGGCCACTGCGGCAGCGCCGGCGCAGCAGCTGGCGACGGAGGAGCAGTGGCAGTGCCACATGCCCTCTGGTTGTAGCGCGGCGGAGCAGTGGGTCCGGTCGGCGTCGAGGAAGAGCCGGCGCGGCCCGCGGTCCCGGAGCTCGCAGTACCGCGGCGTCACCTTCTACCGCCGCACCGGCCGGTGGGAGTCCCACATCTGGTCAGTCACCTGCTGCACTCCTGCAGTGCAGTGCAGGCCTTTGAATTTGCTTCGTTCTTTGCTGGTGTTTTCGGCTTGTGCAAGCAATCTCCATTTCCTCTTCTATTTCATGCTCGTCTCTGTGTCTCTTGTTTCATTGGCAGGGACTGTGGGAAGCAGGTGTACTTGGGTGAGTTCTTGTCCAATTGAAAAAAAAAACTGAAACTTAAATCACGTACTACTAGCATCATTTCATGGCATTTAATCAGGTGTCCGCATTGCTCTTTTTCTAGGTGGATTTGACACAGCGCAGGCTGCTGCAAGGTTCATAGATTTCTTCCTCACATTTGTTCCATCTTATATATATATACACGTACAAACGAGGAGTAAGAGCCCGTTTGGAGGAGCTCCGAAGGCTCCGGCTCCGGCACTGTTTATGCACTGTAGCGCGAGCCGGCGAAGCTAGAAATCGTGGCTTCGCCGGCTCCTCCTCTTTCCGGCTTTTTTCAGTTCATTTTGTGCCTCGATTTTCGAAACGGCTCCTGCCACAGTGTCGCTACAGTGCCGCATGGAGCCGGAGCCCCCCGGAGCAGCGCCAAACGCGCACTAAATTTCTAAATTTTTGTTTGAACTTTGAACCCTCCCTGTACTTTGACCCATTGTTTGCAGGGCCTATGACCAGGCTGCTATCAAGTTCCGCGGCGTGAATGCAGACATCAACTTCACCCTGGACGACTACAAGGATGAGATGAAAAAGGTGATCCCTTATGACAACTCAAAAGACCTGTAGAAGAACAGCCCACCACCATGAATGAACTGAACTGAACAAAGAAGAAAGAACTGCAGCTGCTCTGTTCATCGTTGTTAACATCTCTCTCTCTCTCTCTCTCATTGTTTGATGCCTTGGTTCTGCTCTTCTTGCCATGGCGGCGGCATTTTCAGATGAAGAGCTTCAGCAAGGAGGAGTTCGTGCAGGTGCTCCGGCGGCAGGGCGCCGGCTTCGTCAGGGGGAGCTCCAGGTTCCGGGGAGTCACTCAGCACAAGTGCGGCAAGTGGGAGGCCAGAATCGGAAAGCTCATGGGCAAGAAGTAATTAATTAACGCTGAACAATTAGTTAGTGCTAGTACGAAAATTTTGGAACTTAATTTGGGAAATTTTTGGCTTGGTTGATCTCCTAGTTGTTACTGCAGGTATGTGTACCTGGGCCTGTTTGATACAGAGACGGAGGCTGCCCAGTAAGTGTTGCGCTGCCGCTGCTCTCCTCTGAATTTCTGTTACGCGCGTCATTGGAGTGTCCCAGAACAGAACGGCATGTGATGTGACAACTTCTGGTTTTGTGCCATGCGTATGCTTGCTAATCAGGGCTTATGACAAGGCTGCCATCAAGTGCTACGGCAAGGAGGCGGTGACCAATTTTGATGCCCAGAGCTACGACAACGAGCTGCAATCGCAGTGTGAGCAGCCTTGATCCGGTCTTGTTGTTGTCGTTGCTGTGTTTTCCTTATACTTTGTCATGAAAGATGCATGCTCTTGAGCTGCTGAGCTGAAATTTTGTTTGTGGAGTGCAGCTTGGGACGGCGGCGAGCTGGATCTCGAGCTCAGTCTGGGCTATGCCGGCAGCGATCCGCCGTCCACGGTCGCCGTCGAGGCGTTCAGCTCCGCGCCGGGCAGCAAGCAGAGGACGATGACCCTGACGGTATGCACAGTACATATATACATGGCCGACGCGCTGAGCCTTTTGCTAACGTCCACTACTGTACCTGACTAAACTTCCTCGGACACTGACACGCAGCTCGATCTGCCGGCGGTGGCGGCGGAGGGGGAGGAGACGAGCGCCAGCTACCCGCACAGGAGCATCCTCAGCAGGCCTCCGCCGCCGACTGCTGCCGCCGGCATGTTCTGGCGCCCGGCTGACGGCCACGTCCACGTCCGACACCGCCGCCACCCCGGCAGCGGCAGCAGGGACGACACGCTGCACATGCAACTCCATATGGTACGCCGCTCGTACTACCATCACTGATGGATCGATCGACACACAGCAAACGATTCGATCCGTGACGATGCACCAGTGATCCATCCATCAGCGCATACTATTGCACATGCTAATCAGCGATCGTTGGTTTTTTTTTTTTGTGAACACAAACACTGGCGGACGACCCGGCAGCACCTGGGCGACGAGCAGGCCCAGATCGACAGCGGTGGGGGCCCGCGCGCGCGCTGGACCAATCCCGGTGGCAACGGCATTAACTGGGCGCCGCCGTACGCCAGCGCCCGCCCCGGCAGCGACGACGACGCCAGCAGCGCCGCTGCCGCAGCATCATCAGGATTCCCTCTGTGGCAGCTGGGCGAGGCGTGCAGGCCCAGCCGCTGAGCCTGAGCCTGTCGTCCAGCGCCAGCGACAGTTGTGACACAGCATGTTCGGCTGGGGTCTAAAGATGGCAACGCACAAAATATCCGTGACTGTGGATAGAAAATCCGATGGGCATGGATATGGATTTAAGTTTGTGCCCACGGGCACGGGCATGGGTGTAATTCTAAATCCGATGGATATTTGCATGTGGGCATGGAAAAATGATATCCGCACCTGCAAACCCGCTAAACCCGCGCCAATAACCCTATAAGTCTATATACGGTTGTATGTCTTTATTCGTGTTAATTTGTGATGACTTGAGATACACTAATGTAGACTTTTGATAACTCTTGTATGGTCAATGTGTAATACTTTATCTAATGTTGAGATATAGACGTTTATTTTTTGATATATTGTTTCTTACTTGCTATTAAGATATGGTAGGGTGCTTTGTTGCTTCATTTTTGCGGGTATACGGGTGTGCCCGTGGGCATGTGATATCCGCGGATAGCGGACACGGGCATGGTTTTCTACCCATGACGGTTAACGGGCGCGGGCGCGGGCACGGATTTTTGCTCGCGGGTATGGATATCTAGGGCTAGTATCCGCACGGATTTTACCCGTTGCCATCTTTAGGTGAAACGGTCGTAAACGATCGTAAATTTTCAGCCGAAACAGTATTTTTTTCTCACACAAACTAGTCAGCAGTACTTCTTCACGAACCAGCAACAAACTAGCCCAGCCAAACGAATAGGTTGTATCGGGAACCGCCATTTGCCTCCGCGGGCCGCCGGCGGGTTCCCTTTTCTGGGTAAGCAGTGGCAGAGGGGGCGAGCAGCAGCAGCTCGTCATCGCTGCGCCGTGGCAGGAGCGCGGCCGGCACGGCAGGAGGCAGGACCAGCTACGTTGCTACAAGAGCGTCTGTACGGAGGCAAGCGGAACGGATCGTCGGGGTGGAAAGATTCGAGCGGTTTTGAGCGTCCGGAGCTCGGAGATTTCCTCCTGCCTTGAAATAGTTATTTCTTCTATTCTTAGCTAACTACTGTAGCTACATGCATGATGCTGCTGCTCTGGTGCTGTTGGATGTGGAATGGTGTGTGTGTGGCCCGTGTCCACAATTATTTCTGCTACTGCTCATTGTGCTCCCCTAATAAATCAAAGTCCTACTAGTGGTTGGTCGGACCGAAATCGAATTAGCAAATGTTAGCTAGCTACTCCATTTGACTAGTACGAAGTAACGAGCCTGTTCGTTGGTTGGTTTCTCGGCTGGTTTAGGCTGGCTGATGCTGGTTTATTGTGAGAGGAAAACACTGTTGACTGGCTGGTTTGGGCTGGCTGAAACCAACAAGCGAACAGGGTGAATAACTAGCTCAAGCCTTGAAGACTTGGCTACAAAAGTCTCACATGTTACTTATTAGTCCTCCTGTTTTGATCGGCTAAGGTTAATTTTTAGTTAGCTAGCAATTAGCTTTTGTATCTAAATAGACCTTAAGTCAAACTTTTTGTAAGTTGGTGGACTTTGTATAAAAAAGTATCAACATCCACGACACCAAATAAATACATAATGAAAAAACTATGTATCTAATTAATGATATTATTTTTCTATCTATAAACTTAGTTAAATTTATAAAGCTTTAACTTACGACAACTCTAGAAGTTGATTTATTCAGGGACAAAAAGAGTATATTATGTTTTGATTTGAGGACACTTTGGGTTGGGTTAGATAATTTGTCGGGTTCATAAACCCAGGGTCCCTCGGGGACCAGCTTCCATGCCAAGGCTCGGCCCAAACAGATAACACGCAACTCATGGGCCGGCCCAAGTACCTAAGCACCAGGCCGGAGGAGTGATCCAATCTCCAACCGGAAGAACAGGCCGAGAAGGAACAGCACCCGTTTTCCGGCTCCATCCCACCTCTCCGACCGGAGCGCTCGATCCGGTCGTCAGCCCGCCTCTGGACGGCCTCTTCGACAGAAAGGCCTGGCAAAAAACACCGCTTCCGACTCCGACCCCGCACTCTCCGACCGGGGATACACCCAGCCCCTGCTCACCGCTCTTCTCCAACTGGCGCGATCAGAGCCAACTGGGATCAATCGACCTGGGACGCCCGCTCGGTAGGGACCAGGAGACGTGCAGAGAAAAGCGGGGCGAGACGCACAAGTCAAACCACGGTATCAGGGACCATACCCTGCATGTAACAGTACTCTGCAACCGCCATGACACAAACAGTGTTGTAGGCGCCTATATTTCCCCTACAGTATTATGGGCGTCATTAAACTCCCATATGGTAAGGCTCCCTCGCATGCCTCTGGGCATCAACAGTGTTGTGGGCGTCGGGATTCACCATACGAGTGCACATGGTAAAACTCCTCACATGCCTCTGGGCATCAACAGTGTATGCAGGTACCAACATCTGCTATACCCAGACAAGGGCGACGGAACCTCCCATGTGTATCTGACATCCAACAGTGTTATGGGCGCCTACCATCATTCTGTGCCCGTCGGCATGGGCAACAAGGATAGAAGCATTCGTACTCTCTCCCTCTCACTTATAAGGCCATCCCCTTCATCTATAAAAGGGGATATGCCCTCTCCCAAAAGACAGAGCCCTTTTTAGTTAATCAACATCGATCAAGTTCACTAGCTCATAACCACAGAACCGTCGGATTCGGACCTTAAGCGCACACTTGAACACTTAGCTCATAGCGTAACTCCTATCGCTCTCGGCCCTTCCGACCAGAGTCGACCGGACCTCTTGTACACTCCATCTTTCTCCTTCTCGTTTGTAACCCCACTGCAAACTTCGGGCACCTGGGCTCAGGAATAAAGTCACTGACCGACTCAAACTGGACGTAGGGCACGTTGCCTGAACCAGTATAAACCCTGTGTCATTGAGTGCTAGGCCACCACCGATCACAACGTACGGCAAAACTACAAATATTTACTAGTTGGTCACTTTCTGTACCGACATAATTACTTACTAATAATTAGTCAGCTCAGCTTGTTAAAGATTTGTTAAGGCTAGTGAGCTAGAAATGACTCCATGTTTTTGGCTCACCAAACTTAGCGTAGTTCAACATCATCGTCAAGTGCTAATAAGAAAAGAGAAATCATGTAACGATGTGTCACACGTGTTATTACAATAGGTAAGGCGTGCTTGGTTGATAGCCTAAGGTTGCTAACATATGTGTCACGGACGTTTTGCCAAACTCATCCGTGTGGTTATCAAATTCGGGTTTATCAACACACACTTAAGTACATTGCATTTCATTGCAATATTTGTATATATTTTTTCTATAAATTAGACCATTGAGAAGTTTTATGGACTACAAATCCACAATACAACATTTAAACATTATTTGTTACCCCTTATAGCAGCTTACATGGAACACTATAATTAATTATAGCACTATGTGTTTCGAATTGCATCGAGAAAGAACCTTGAAAGATGACTAGTTTGACTCTGATCACTTTTTGCTAAGAACATCAAATTTTCTTATCAAATAGGACCATATATATAATATTTATTTATTTATCCATAATGTTGTAGTAAATCATGGGGGGGAGGGGTTACAATAATCCTGTTACTAGTATAGTCATTATGGTAACTCAAAGTGCTAAGAGAGAGAGAATAGAGTGGATCTAGCATGCAAGAACCAATAAGCTGTTGGCTAGCATTAATTAGTCTGGTGCGTTATTTTACTCCGCACCTTCTTCTTGATATATCGTCCGGAGCTATATAGGCCCTGTTCGTTGGGAGGAATTTGGAGGAATCTGGATGAATCTGGAGAAATTTGTGAGAGCGTGAACAGTGATTTTTAGCCATGAACAATAAATTCCGGCTGGTTTTTGCACCAGCCAAATGGCGCCATAGTGCCATGCTGAAAGCTTAAACCCTAAGTGCTAACCTAGTTTATCAAAGTGATCATGAGATAGGTAGCACATTCCAAGTGGTGAAACAAATGAAGATCATAACATGATGACGGTGATGCCATGGTGATGATCAAGTACTTGGACTTGAAAAGAAGAAAGAGAAAAACAAAAAGGCTCAAGGCAAAGGTATAAATGGTAGGCGCCTTTTTGTTTCGGTGATCAAGACACTTAGTGAGTGTGATCACATTTAGGTTCGATAGCCGTACTATTAAGAGGGGTAAAACTCATATCAAAATACGGTTATCAAAGTACCACTAGATGCTCTAACTCATTGCATATACATTTAGGATCTAGTGGAGTGCTAACACCCTTGAAAATGTTTGTGAAAATATGCTAACACATGTGCACAAGGTGATACACTTGGTGGTTGGCACATTTGAGAAAGGGATAGAAACCTCATCGGCGGAGTGTCCGCCCATGAGTGTGGACAGTCCGACGGTGCCACCGGCGCCCTATATAGAGAAGACACGATTTCACAGAGTGACCGGACACTGGTCATGCAGTGATCGGACGTTGGGTTCAGTGTCCGGTCAGTGACAGCAGTGAGCACGTGGTCTCGGTCTTGTGACCGGACGCTCAGGGTCTGAGTCCGGTTAGTGCTGACGTACGCTGACGTGGGACGCACAGAGGAGACATTGAGTGACCGGACGCTGGGTGAGTCCGGTCGGGCATGACCGGACGCATTCGGTCGTGAAATCTCACGTTTGGAACCTTACTGAAAACGACTGGACGCTGGGGTCCAGCGTCCGGTCACTTTCTAACTGACGCGTCCGGTCATCACTTGACCGTTGAGATCGGGCGATCAGCGTTTGAAGCAGGGGACATGTGGCGAAGATCTGAGGACCGGATGCTAGGGTCCTGCGTCCGATCAAAACGACCGGCGCGTCCGGTCACCCCGTGTTATGCCCAGTGAAGGGGTACAACGACTCTATTTCGTGGGGGCTTCTATTTAAGCCCCATGGCCGGCTCAAGCTCACTCTCTTGGCCATTTGCATTGATATAGCAACCTTGTGAGCTTAGCCAAAGCCCTCCCACTCATCTCCATCATTGATCCATCATCATTGTGAGATTGGGAGAGAATCCAAGTG